AGCGGCCAAGCCTGCCCCAGCCCAGCCCCCTGCTTGCTCGCCTAGAAGAGGGGGGCAGGGGGCTAGCCCCAAATACCGACCCCCTTCCCCTGCCCACATCACCCACACAAAAGAGCCTCCCCCGCAGCACTGATTACCTTCCACCGCCAGGACACAGAAGGTCAAGGAGAAAACACAGAGACAAAGCAAGTCCTCTAGCGCCATGTAAACCCTTAAAATCTCCAGGAGGGAAAAAAAAGCAGGGCTCCTTGAATGTCCAGAAGAACATTTAAGTACCGACCCCCTTCCCCTGCCCACATCACCCACACAAAAGAGCCTCCCCCGCAGCACTGATTACCTTCCACCGCCAGGACACAGAAGGTCAAGGAGAAAACACAGAGACAAAGCAAGTCCTCTAGCGCCATGTAAACCCTTAAAATCTCCAGGAGGGAAAAAAAAGCAGGGCTCCTTGAATGTCCAGAAGAACATTTAAGAGGGCAGCTGAGTCTCCCTCCACTCCATCGCCATCTTGTGTGAATGTTAGAGACTATGTGAGTTGCTGGCTTGCACACACACATGCACACACACACACACACTCAAGTCCCACTTTAGGTGTCCACTAGAGACGCCTGAACCTCTGCCAACAACCCAGCGCACACACCCCCCTTTCTGTTTCTCCATGCAGCCGCATGCTGGAAGCTTTGAGGGAAACAGATTGGTCACTCCTTGTGCAGCGCCCAGCTGCTGAAAAGCCCTGCTCCGTGTGCAGGGTTAGCAAACAAGCCCCAGCATGTGACAAAAATAAAAGGGCTGGCGGGGAGGGGTCTGCTGCTGGGTTTTTTGTGAGAGTGGGGAGAATTGGAGGGCTCAGATCTTCGCTTGCACACCCTGCCGCTAGCTTAGCAAGACGGGGTGACCGTCACCCAAGAATGCCATTTTTTTTAAAAGTAAGGACTCATTCAACAGGTTGCTAAAAGCTTCAGAAAGTCTCAGACGTTCCCCTTCCCCAAGAATCGGGAGCGCTTGAGGGATATAAACATTTCACTCTTCACACTTTTCCTCTTCAAAGTGTTTTGCAAACACCTACGAGAAGGGGCAGGTCAATTTCAGTCCCAGATGAGAATATTTTGGGGAGGGAAATGAGAAACACTCCTGCACTTTTACAAAAGAGATTGCACAAGAAATGCTACCAGGAGGGAGCTAGAGAGAAATGCATATTTAAGGGGGAAACAAAGATTTCCCCACAGAACTCCAAGCCTTGCAGAATTAGGCTAATGCTTGAGAACCTCCGTGATTAGAAACAAACAGGGTGGAGTCTCAGCCAATCCCACCCAGTTGTCTCTGACTGCAGGATCAGGACCTTTGTTTTATTCACTCTGGTCTTCATTAGACAAGTGCCCGCTGTCTTACATGGGAATTTAGGGCAGGGGGATAGTTGAGCACGGATCCCAGCCTTGGCATGCTGGACATAAAGCATGCAATCAAGTACATTCTACAGTAAATAATTTTGCTAAACAAGAATTTTAACCCAACATTTCTCTTCCTAAGTCACTCCAGAGCATGGCTATGTGGCAGTTTAGTCCAATGCTCCAGCTGCAAGATAGGGGCCACGTCCAGTCATATTTGCCCTACGTATGTATTCACCCTATTCTCTTTTTAAGGATCAAATCCTAGTCAGCCACAGTGGGTGGGAGCAGGAGGCTCTCTAGACAGCAGAAGCAGCGCACAGGGTAGCTGGGAGGAAGATGAAGCTTTGTACCATGTGGAGCTACAGGGCTGAATTCCTTGGGGGCAGCGTTTTCTTTCATTTGCAAATGGATTTTGGGGAGTGGGCCAGGAAAGAGGCTGAGCTGGTGGACCATGACAGCACAGATTCATTGACATTCCCCACACTCGCACAGCAGTGTGAGGTAGGAGCCAGCAGCAGTCAAAATGGACCAGGATGCATAGGAAAGAAAAAAAAGATTCCATCTCCTCCCTCCTGCAGAGCCCTGGCTAGAATCTAGATCCAAAGATCATGCAAATGTAAGAAGCACTTGAATGTATCTGGTATTTTTTTTAAAAATCTATGGATTATACTTTCATCAAAATTGGAGCTGCTGGCCTGAACTAAAGCCCCAAATCACTCCCACAAGACCAAATCCAAACTGGGCCAGTCATTAACCATAAGCTCCACATACCTGAGTGTGAGGTTGGGGTCTTAGTCATGTGTCTCCAGGCTTTCCTGGTGTTGGTGATATGCAACCCATGACTTACAGCTTCATTGCTTTTTAAATAAAATATATCAGATGATTTTTATTTCAAGAAAAATGTGGAGAAATTGGAGAGGGTCCAGAGATGAGCAACAAGAATGATTAAAGATTAAAGATCTAGAGAACATGAGCTATGAAGGAAGACTGGAAAAATTGGGTGTGTTTAGTTTGGAAAGGAGAAGACCGAGGCTATGTCTAGACTGCAGGCTTCTTTCGGAAAAAGCTTTTCTGGAAAAGATCTTCCAGAAAAACGTCTTCCAAAAGAAAGTGTCCACACTGCAAAAGCACATCAAAAAAGCCATCTGCTTTTTCAAAAGAGAGCGTCCACACTGAATGGACGCTATCTCGCATGTTAGCTGTGATTACTATGGAGGGAGTGGCCACCAGGGCACCTGTGCTTTTTCCTCTTCTTTCGAAAGAATTCCCTCTTCCCCATCGACACAGGCCTTTTTCCAAAAAAGCTTTTTCGGAAAAATGCTTCTTCCTCGTAGAATGAGGATTACCAATGTTGGAAAAAAAACCTCTATTCTTTTGATTTTCTTTTGAAAGAACACAGTTGCAGTGTGGACGTAACAAGTTTTTCTGGAAAAATGGCAGTAGTGTAAACATACTCTGAGAGGGGACATGATAGCAGTTTTCAATTATCTAAAAGGGTGTCACAAAGAGGAGGGAGAAAAATTGTTTTCCTTGGCCTCTGATAATAGGACAAGAAGCAATGGGCTTAAACTGCAAGTTGTGGAATCTCCATCTCTGGATATATTCAAGAGCAGGTTAGATAGATATCTATCAGGGATGGATAGTCCTAGTTGATGGCCTTTTACTCTGGATTGATTTCACTTGTTCTGAACATAGGGATTCTGTACCGTAGAACCAGACAGGTGCTTGGTCCTGCTATGAGGGCAGGGGACTTAACTTGATAACCTCTAGATGTCCCTTTCAGTTCTTATATTCTATGGCCCATTCCTCAGGCATTGGGAGATGCTGCAAAAATACCGCTGCCTCAGTAGCTTGGCAAATAACAAAAAGTTATTTCAATGCACACTCATGTAAATCCACGCAGGTGCATTTCTGGCCCAAGAGGAGAATAACATCCCAGTGACTGCTTTGCCCTCCAGCACCCTGAACGTGGTCATTCCATAAACCAGAAGGCATTCATCTCCCACACAGGTAGGCGATTGAGTGCTGTGGGCTAGGAAGTCGGAAACAGGTTTGCCTGGTGCAGAGAGATGGTTTACCACTGCAGTGTGAAAAAAAACCACAGAGTGCTGACCACTGTGGAAATAAAAACCCCTTCCTGCACCAAAGAAACCTCTTTATTCCAGAGCTTTCTATTTATGAGCTTGCTCAGTGAACTATGAAAACAAGAAAGGTTGCATGTGCGAAGCAAATTTCTCATGTTTACTAGTTATGCAACTTTAACTTTGCACTTGGCACTTAGTTACCAGGCTGCACTGACAGACTGTGAGCCAACAGTGCGGTGCTATGGCTGAACGTGTGTCTCGGGCATGCATTAGAGGTGGGCCAGGAGGTTCTGATCCATTTCTCAACTTTGCCTTAGCTCAGAGCCCAGCTCTGTTGCATATCTAGTGATACAGTGCAGTATAGCTTGCTGGGCACAAGATTATAATGAGGCCACATTCCTTTGTCTTTTTGACAGCATACTGTTGGTTCCTTTGCCAGCAATTTTGACTAGGCTAAGATTTCTAAAGAGAACTGGATCCCTAAATCACCCTGACAATAAAGGTCAGCTAAGGGCCTCTGTGGGCTCTTTTTGAAAGTCCCCATCTTCAAAACAACAACAAAAATGAGGAAAGACTTAAACTGGCACAGAAGAGATGGGCTTTCCCTGGTAAGATTAACAGCACTTCATTTGTGTAAACTAGTGCAATAATTCAGGACTATTAAGAGACCAGATATGGTGCCCTAGGAATTATGGGCCAAATTCTGTGGCTAATTCAGACAGGTGCAGCATCTGTGCACCTATCAGAAAATCTGCACCCGCAGCAAGAGCTAGGATTTGGCTGGTATATTCGGATTTTCCTCCAAACTCACAGAACCACAAGAGGGTGTTCCACAGCCAGGCCTAGAGGCATGACTTGCCTATAAGTGAAACCAGTGACAGAAAAATGACTCCAGAGAAGTGTCCATATTGAAACACATAACCTGGCTCACGGCACCCCCATCTACATTGGTCATCAAGACCATGAAGGAAAATCCACCCACTGAGGTTTCCCGCACCAAGCTAGCCTAGAAAGATGAGCAAGGGTGGCTTTGCTTGAAGACCCTTAAGATGGGTTTGGCCACAAGATGCTTTGTTTACCATCAGCGCCCACAGGTCGGACTGCCCACAGCTCTAAGTGGCTGCGGTTGCCATTCACAGCCATGGGAGTTGCAGAAAGCAGCAGCCAGCACATCCCTGTGTCCTGCACCACGTCTCGCAACCCCCATTGGCCAGGAACTGCCACACAGCGCCACTGGGAGATGCGGGCCACCGTATCTACCGGCACTCAAGGTAAACAAAGCATCTCACGGCCACACCAGCTGCATCCCCTGATGGACCAGGAGCCAAAGGTTGCCCACACCTGTGCTCAGTGAATCATTTAATCGCTCTGTGCCTCAGTTTCCCATATGAAAAATATCTAGGAAAGAGCATGGCAGAAAGGGATCTAGGGGTCATAGTGGACCACAAGTTGAATATGAGTCAACAGTGTGACGCTGTTGCAAAAAAAGCAAATATGATTCTAGGTTGTATTAACAGGTGTGTTGTAAGCAAAACTCGTGAAGTCATTCTGCCGCTCTACTCTGCGCTAGTTAGGCCTCAGCTGGAGTACTGTGTCCAGTTCTGGGCGCCACATTTCAAGAAAGATGTGGAGAAATTGGAAAGGGTACAGAGAAGAGCGACAAGAATGATTAAAGGTCTAGAGAAGCCTATGAAGCCAGGCTTCATGAACTGGGCTTGTTTAGTTTGGAAAAAAGAAGATTAAGGGGGGACATGATAGTGGTTTTCAAATATCTAAAAGGGTGTCACAAGGAGGAAGGCGAAAATTTGTTCCTCTTGGTTTCTGAGGACAGGACATGGAGTAATGGGCTTAAAGTGCAGCAGGGGAGGTTTAGATTGGACATTAGGAAAACATTCCTAACTGTCAGGGTGGTCAAATATTGGAATAAATTGCCAAGGGAGGTGGTGGAATCTCCCTCTCTGGAGATATTTAAGAACAGGTTAGATAGACATCTGTCAGGGATGGTGTAGACGGAGCTTGGTCCTGCCTTGAGGGCGGGGGGCTGGACTCGATGACCTCTCGAGGTCCCTTCCAGTCCTATTATTCTATGATTCTATGAAATGAAAATTAAGGCTGGGTTTTCCGTTAAACTAAGTTTTCCACAGAAAGCATCTGTTCTCTGCAGAAAATGTAATTCTTTCCTTAAAAAGAATATAGCACATTTTCCATTAAAAGACCCATTCCATTTTCCAACCAGCTGTAATAAAATTAA